GTGCCATGAGTTGTGCTCCAACTCCTGTTCTAGCTGACCCTTTAAGGGGACTAGAGTCCAGAGGACAGAGGCTTTGCTGGGGATCTCCACGGGCTCAGAAGCGAGACAGACTCCTATATCACGCACAGACACACACATGGCAGAGGGTGCAGTCACCTCGACACGCTCGCCCCGCCGCTTCCCACTCCTGGAGAAGCTGGAGCAGCTCAGCAGCTCCTCCTCGGGGGTGCAGTGGGCCACAGCGGTGGCCATCCGTGTAGGCCCTGAGGACGCCGACCACACACTCCTGCAGAACAGCTGCCCACCTGCAACAAGGCCCTGGGCTGAGGAGCAGAGCCAGGGCAGAGGGGGAACCACCAGGCACTCTAGAAAAATCTTTAGTTCGTGGTAGGGAGGCTTAAAGAGCATACTCAACTTTTTTCAACAAAACTGTTATAAAAGTACTGCAAAGCCCTTTCAGAACCCTATTCTCGTTCAATCCTATTTAAAGTGCCAAGATACTCCTTGCACAGATGAGGGAGAGGAGAGAGACAGCCACAGTCACAGAGGCCTCCCCAGCCCCCGTCTGGACTTGCCCCCCTCTACCCCCCGCCATCCTACTCACCTGCTCTGTGGGCACTGGGGGGCAGGGCAGCCACCAGGTTGGGGGTCAGCACCCGCTGGTCCTCAGGGAACCAGACCTCATTGATGACATCTTTGGCAGAGAAATGGAGCAGCCTCTGCCTTAGTTCGGCCAGGGTGAGCTTGGGCTCAGCCATCAGCATCATTGCTGCAATGCCTGGGGGGAGGGGAGAGAGATGGGGCAGCCCGACCCTCCTCTTCGACCAGGGGTCCTGCTAGATCACATGCATGCTGACACACATGCACGTGTGCAGGGATATCGAGCTTCTCCTCCCAAAGGTAAGCCACATACAATCCCTCGCTAAGTGAAAGCAAATAGTAAGACATCCTGCTGTCACACCTCTGGGCCTTGGTAACCGCTGTTTTGTTTGTCAGGTGAACTCCTACTCATCCTCCAAGCCCAGATCAAATGCCCCTCCCCTGGGAAGCCTCCACTGACCCTCAGGCTGGGTAGGTGTCTCCTCTGGGTTCCCGTTAACATAGCCCTGACTATCGGTGCTCCCTCGGTGCATGCACCTGCCTCCCCCCTCAGACTGGTGTCCTGGAAGACTCCATCAGGTCTGCCTTGTCTCGAGTCCCCATGCCAGCACAGACCCCGCCTGCCAAAAGGGCTATTAGCAATGTGTGGCTGAGGCAGTGGGTAGTGACGCACCAGCCACGTGGGCAGCAGCCTGTGACGTCCCACTCTGTGACACGAAGCAGGTGCTGCAGTCACTTGAGGCACCAATGATGTCCTCTCCTGGGGCAAAAAGGTCTACACAGCGGCCAAAGTTGGTCCCCAAGGCCCCCAGAGTCATTGGCTGGTCCTGGGCATTGGTGGCCCCAACGGTGATGACCTGGAAAAGTGAGGTGAGTAGCAGAGAACAGAGCCCAGGAGAGGGGTTGCAGGGACAGACTGAGGCTTGGGGGGCTTTGCCAGCTGGGCCAGCCAACTCCTACACGCTTGTCTGGGTCTCTTCCAAATGTCCCCTCCTGAGGGAAGAAGCCTGACTCTGCACCCCTGACCACACCTCAGTGCTTCCCTCTGCCATGTGCCAGGCAAGGTCCCCAGAACACCTGTGGAGTTTGCATTCCAGGGTGAGGGGTGCAGATAATGAGGAAACACACAGGAGACCACTCGGTGTGCCAGCCGGTCACAGGCACTGTGGGGCATAACCGAGCGGGCAGGGGGGGAAGGCTTGCTGGGCCCTGTTTCTTTCAACAGCTGCAAACCCAGCCAGGGAAGCCTCTGATGGCCAAGGAGGGCCTGGGTCATCCCTGTCAGGTCCACACAGACACGTGACAGACAGCAGTGGGACAGGATTCCTTCCCCTCAGGATCCCCAGTGTCCAAACAGCCTGACGCACAGTAGGTGCCTTGTGGAATAGTGGTCAGATGAAGGATGTCACAGCCCTGCTAGACAATCAGCTCCTCCAGGGCTGAGCCTACCCTGTGTTCCCACAGCCCCTTCCCTCCCCAGGTCTCTGCCAAACCCCACGCACCCCCACCCCCTGCACAGCCAGGCCGGCACCGCCTCCAGGAACCACTGCGTGTAGCCATGGGGGGCCCAACCGGCCCCTTCCCGCTGTCTGGGGAGCACTGGCACCAGCACCTACCTCGGGTGCTGAGGCTGGGGAGTAGAGACAGGCATCATCCCGGAAATTGCCGGCGGCTGCCACCAACACCACCCCAGTCCTCACCAGGCGCTGGCAGGCGGCGTTGAGGACCCGGCTGTACCCACCCGCCAAGGGCAATAGCACCACCAGCTGTGGCACAGGCTGGACCAGCTGGCTTTTCCGAATAAACTCCAGGCCTGAAAGGACAATGCCAAGGTCAGCCCCTAGGGAGACCTGCTCCTTTCCTCCAGCCCCTCCCTCAGAGGCATGGGGTGCCAGTTAATCTTATGTGCCGGGTTGGTGCCCAGATGTTTGGTCAAACACCAGTCAAAATGCTTCTGGGGAAAAATAATGCTGCTGGGAGAGTATTTCTGAGACGCGACAAATCAGACTGAGTAACACCGATCACCCCCCAATCCGGCATGCGGGTAGGGAGAAAAGGCTGGGACTGAGGTTCCCCCACCTCCCCGGGGGAAGATGAACTCTGCCCTCAGCCTGCCTGGCCTGCTCTGCTGACCTCAGACTCGCCACCCCCCACACGACCCAAGTCCTTAATACCCTAACAGTATCTCCCCTGGGCTCTGTGTCTCTGGAGAACCTGTCACAGACCAGGAGCACGTTAGCAATGGCACCCGCAGTAAACCAGCCATACTGGGGCACAGTTTCAGCTGCCAGGTGTTAAGTGCACCTGCTGTGCCCACATCTCTGGGCTACACCCACCTGCTTTCAGAGGGGAAAATAGCCGTGGCTAGGAAAGGAATACTGTTTGCTGAGCGCCCTCTGTTCCAGGTGACATGACAGGGGCTTTCTACACACTGAGTGGGACCCCAAAGAGGGGGCTTCCCACGAAGCCCTCCTGAGACTGGAACACCAGGCCTGGAAAGGCCTTCGGGGAAAGAGCAGCCTCCCCTCCACACCCTGACCTTTGAGAACTGTACTTCCTGAGCATGGGTCAGTCAATAGAGGGGTGGAATGGCCCCAGGGGTCACCTGATGGGGCAGGAGATTATTGATTCTTGCCTTTAAAACTGAACAACAAGACCCATGCTCCACAGGAAAGCCTCATTCAGGCAGGGCCCTGGGCCTTCTCAGCTTTGCCAACAGGCCCAAGGGTGTGGTGCCTCTGCATAGGTCTGGGGCCAATGTTTGACCCAAGGGCCTGGGGCTTGCAATGGAAATCAAGTCACCAGCACCTTCCTCAGTGTGGTAACTGGCTTTCGCTGTGTCACCCTGGGCAAGTCACCTCCCCTCTTTGGGGATAATACAATGCCAGCCTCAGACCATGGTGTGTAAAGCCCTCTGCTCAATGTGTGGGCTCAGGCAGGTATCAGTCTGCACGAACTCCCTCCCTCTTCTCTGTCCACAGGCCACCAGAGAGGCCCAGCGGGACCTCACGGGCGGCCCCACAGGTGGACTGGATGGAGTAACTGGCAAAAGTGGGAAAAGTCCTCGGCCAGTTCCTCCACCAAGTCTGCCTGCCCAGAGTGACCTGCAAGGCCAATCAGTCATGCACGCAAGTAAGTCCCTT